GTGCCCTTTCTTGAGGTGACCGCCAAAAACCGAAGGATGGCCGAAGAAGTGTTTGAAACGCTCGTGCATACCATTCGAAATGGGGGAAATGCGTCCGAGCAGAAACATGCAAACGGTGCGGGGGGAACCTTTCGCACCGATGCGAGACAGAGTGGAACGGGGCTCCATGCGAGCGACAACGCGGGCTTGCACCTTGTGGCACCCTCTGCCTTATCACCGCCTTCGTATCCAAAAAAAAAAAAAGTCGATGCGTTCTGCTGTGAGTGCGGCCGCCTTGTTATCGCTCCCGCCGCTGATGCGATAAGTATTGTCTTAGGATGCCCTTTGTTACTACCGTGGGGGGAAAAAAGCATTGTTTATATATAATATATATTGCCAATGGTGTGCAGTTTAGTTGCGTTTTTTTTCCTCTTTTTCTTTTTCAGGGGCTCCACCGCTCTCTCGCCGTTTCTTTTTTTTTTCTTTTTTTTTTTGCGTTTGTGTGCACATGTCCCATCTGATGTTGTTTTTGGCTTTTGTTTCTGTTTCTTTTAATATCTACCTTTTCTATTTTTTTTTGTGTTGTTTTTTACTTCAAGGCCACGTGTGGAGGCGGCACATATTTATAATTCATTTTCACCACTTTGCTTTTATTGGCGTAATGGCTGAATCAGGCACCACCTTGCGGTTTTGCTCCCCTTTCTGGACGCCTGAGCGTCGCTGGTTTTTCCAGTTTTTTGTCTGCATTCTGATATGTCTGAACAACGGCGCTTGCTTCTGCTTTGGTGTATTCACTCCGTACATGAAGCAGGGAGCGTTTCACTACAGTCAGTCGGAAATTAACATCGTTTCTACGGTTGGCGTCATTTTCAGCTACTGTTCACTTCCAACTGGATTTTTGTACGACCACAAAGGTCCCATGGCAACACTGTTTGTGGGAACCATATTGAATGTGCTGGGCTGGTCTGGCATGTTTCTCTTATTTGTGAACATGGACGCTCCGATATTAGGAACAAATGTTGGAGTCATGTGTCTGTTTTATGGAATTTCGCAATTGTCAGCCAGCTTCTATGAAACTGGTTCGCTTTTGGCAAGCTTGGACGCCTTTGCCTGCTATCAGGGACGTGTGATTCTCATTCAGAAAACATTTATGGGATTGGGGAGTTCGGTTATTGTCCAGATATATGTTGCTTTTTTTGAGAAGCACTTTACAGGAATAGGACCGTTTTTCCTGTTTCTGCTCATTTATTCGCTATGTGTCGGGGTGCTAGGTACATTATTTGTCCGCCTGCCCACGAAGAAAACGCAGTGTTTGGGGCTCAGCGTACCAGATGAGGATGTGATTAAAAGTGGAGGAGCTGAAACGCGCCTATTTAAGCTTCCGTTTAACGTTGGCACAGCGATCCTTTTTGCGTTCATCGTGTTTGTCCTGGCTGTGACCCTGCTAGAGAATTTCCATTCACCGTCGGAGGCTAATCGTGCCCTTATTGGCGTTGTGGTGATACTCCTATGTTTGTCTTTCGCTGCCATGATCTTCATTACGCCCAGCTACTCTGTAAACTGCGGGGGGTATGACACGCAGTCAACGACAACAACAATCCCAACAGCACCGGCGGCAGTACCTACAGCGACCACTAACAACGATGCCACCGTCAAAACGAGTACCACAAATTATGCGCCACCGCACAATAAGGAAAAGACGGAGAGTGGCTCCATGTTGTTATCCAGGGCTCAACCAAGCGATAATTATCCCGATGAAAACATTCGTCATCAAGAGGTCGAATTGAATATTCCAGAGGGACCAGATGCGGCAAAAGAGCCTGAGACTAATGCCTCTTTAGAGGGAGACCAACATGCTTCAGGAGTACAGAACTTCCACTCGGGTGACAACCTCGCTACCGAATCTAGGACTGTCCAACAGGGGGTACACCTAAACTCAAAATCATTATGGTATAATTTGCGTCATCGAGAGATGTGGCTTATGTGGTACGTGTGTCTGGCGTCGTGGAGTTCAGCGACGTTGGTTTCCACAAACAGTAGCCAGATATACGAAGCAATGGACTTTAATGGGTACTCCTCTACAGTCAATGTCGTCTTTGTCTCCATTTACGGTGTCGCAAGTGCAATGGGACGTGTTTCAGTTGGTATCGCTCATCCCTTTCTTCTAAGCAAAAGGATCCCTGTTCCTTCGTTTATTTGTATTGCCCCTCTTTTAAATGTTATCGGTCTACCACTGTTTCTAGCAATGCCAAAGAATGCATTGGCGATCCCTTTTTTTGTCGTTGGCCTCGCGACAGGTGTTTCATGGGGAAGCACAGTTCTCATCATCAAATCTCTATTCGCATCTAACAACTGTGGAAAGCACTACAGTATATTATTTACAGCGGGAATTGTGTCTCCCTTTATTTTCAACGTGGGGATTTTTGGACCCATTTACGATTACTACAGCAAACAGCAGGGACGCTGGGAAACCCGTAAATGTGAAGGACGTTCCTGCATTTGGATCCCTCTGGTGGTATGCGCTATCGCGAACGTCATTGCTCTGCCATTGGCCATCTACTTTGTTATTCGGGTGTCAAAACGGGGAGGCCTGCTGTAATGGGTTTGAAGTTGGGACCACTGTATGATGAAGAAAACATTTTCTGTGTTTTTTCTCGTGCTCAGGCAACTAGCGTATTTTTTTTTCTTTTGTCATCATCGTTTCTTCTTCCTACTGTGGTGTTTCATTTTATTCTTCCGTGCATATATGTGATGCGTGCAAGGCGTACCTCTTTTAGCTTTGCGAGGGGGCAAATGTAAAAATAAAGGTGAAAAAAGGGGGAAGAAAATTTCTTTGTTTTTATTCATTTTCAGGCAACTAGCGTATTTTTTTTTCTTTTGTCATCATCGTTTCTTCTTCCTACTGTGGTGTTTCATTTTATTCTTCCGTGCATATATGTGATGCGTGCAATTCGTACCTCTTTTAGCTTTGCGAGGGGGCAAGCGTAAAAATAAAGGTGAAAAAAGGGGGAAAAAAGATTAGTTTTATTGTGCTGGCGGAGCAATGTGATTGCGCGTGATGGGGGTTAAAGGGAGCGACGGTGAAGAAGCGGATAAGGTCCATGTTTTACGCTGATTCCCAAAAAAAAAAAAATGTTTCTTAGCTCTGTTGATGCCTGCTGTTCTCTTTTGCTTTCTTCGTTGGGGTGATTATTGAGACGGCGTAGTCTTCGCTTGGTGAGGCCAGGAGAGGGGTGTCGCTGCTCCCCAAACCACGACAAAACATTATTTATCGTCGAGGCTTTCAAGTTTTATTGTTTGGTTGATTATCGTTGTTGACGGCGTCGTGTTGACGCAGTTTCGATGCCGGATATTCCTATTGTTGTCTTGGGGGGCGGCGGTGTCGGAAAGAGTTGCCTGACTATTCAGTACATTCAGGGTCATTTCGTTGACAAGTACGACGCCACTATTGAGGATGTGTATCGCAAGCCTATCGACCTCGATAACCAACCTGCAGTGCTAACAATAGTAGATACGGCGGGACAGGACGCTTTTGGTGCGATGCGTGACCAGTATTTGCGCAAAGGGCAGGGTTTTGTCCTTGTGTATAGCATTACCGACGCAGAGAGCTTTCAGCAGCTGAAGCGAATATATGCTCAGCTGTGCCGCGTAAAAGGGGGAAAATCGGTTCCCTGCGTGGTAGTTGGAAACAAAATTGACGAGGTAAACTACCGGGCTGTAAGCCCGGAGGAAGGCAGCCTGTTTGCGGCGCAGGCGCAGTGCCCTTTTCTTGAGGTGACCGCCAAAAACCGAAGGATGGCCGAAGAAGTGTTTGAAACGCTCGTGCATACCATTCGAAATGGGGGAAATGCGTCCGAGCAGAAACATGCAAACGGTGCGGGGGGAACCTTTCGCACCGATGCGAGACAGAGTGGAACGGGGCTCCATGCGAGCGACAACGCGGGCTTGCACCTTGTGGCACCCTCTGCCTTATCACCGCCTTCGTATCCAAAAAAAAAAAAGTCGATGCGTTCTGCTGTGAGTGCGGCCGCCTTGTTATCGCTCCCGCCGCTGATGCGATAAGTATTGTCTTAGGATGCCCTTTGTTACTACCGTGGGGGGAAAAAAGCATTGTTTATATATAATATATATTGCCAATGGTGTGCAGTTTAGTTGCGTTTTTTTTCCTCTTTTTCTTTTTCAGGGGCTCCACCGCTCTCTCGCCGTTTCTTTTTTTTTC